GGGGGGTTCTGTAAATACCGGCGGGGCGGATCGAGGACCCTGGGGGGCCGTATCTGGCCTGCGGGCCGTAGCTTGAGGACCTCTGGACTAGATGATCTCTAGAGGTCCCTTCCAACCTCAACCATTTTGGGATTCTGTGATTATTTTCCTACTGTTTACAATCCAATAGGTTTTCTTTTAAAAATGGAAAACATAGTTTTTTAAAAAACATATCCATAAAGTAAAACTGGTGCCAGGTTTTCATAGCTCAGCAGTTCTATGGTCATATCAGTTCTTTTATACTTAAAGTAAGAGCTGTAGTGGAGAGTTTTAAGAGCAAGATCTCAAGTGTTCAAGTAACAAGCAGTTTCTTACTTCAAAGTAAGAAATCCTTTGAAAATTTCCTTAAAAAAAATGCAATGCAACAGTGTTTCAACTCATTGATGTTCAAAAACATTAACGGTTATAAACTGATGTTCTAAAGAAGAATATTTTTTCAATATACCTTAGGTGTTAGATCAGGTAGTTCTTGAAGCTTATAGGTCTTTGAGAAAAGGAGCCTGATGATCCATAGTATGAGAATTCCTTCCAAAATTAGATGGTAAGCTGGGGCCTGGAAATAAAGCATAAAAATAAAACTATTCTATTTGAATAAATCTGATGTTTTACAACAGTTTTGCCACCACTAATTATACTTGTAGAAGGAACAAGGCTACATTGTACCAGCTGATACATATTTCTAAGTCACTAAAAATATAATTATATGAAAGCACACTCCTTTGTACTACTCCATGCAGCTATTGACTTGAGTTTGAACCAATTTATTGTATTGGTTAATAAACAACAATGGTACGGTAAGTAGTCTCAATTCTAAACATGCAATAAAATGAGTACTGAGATCTTAGGCACTGCAGATAAACCTTATAAAGTTGCAACAGTAACTGCAAAAGGAGAAAGTTTTCATAATAGCAAACTGAAGGTTTCTGAGAGCTTGAAAGTCTGTCTCACTAATGGCCATCAACTTCAAGCATAGATTTGTGCAACTACATAGTCCACTAGCAGATCACAGACAGCAAAAGCTACTATTGTTTACCAGGAGACCTCATCCTGCTCACAGAGCCCATTTTTTGCATTCTAACACTTAGTTAGACAGGTGCTTTGAGCTGGTATAACCCAGCATGGCCACCAAAAGCAGATTTGCCCCCATGTCACTTAGTCTCTTGGTTGGACACAAGAGGATTTACAAATGTATACAGTAAACCAGAACAGAGAAAGTCAAAGCTAGCTTCTTTGGACTAGGGAGGCAGGAAGGCCAGTTTCTTCTGACAGCAGAACCAGTTTAAAGCATACATGAAACTATGGCATCAGTATTTGACATGTAGTTTAAATGATTGGTTTAGTTATTCAACAAGGTTCCAGTCTACACTGTGGATGTCTATACCACTTTTAAAGGGCTGAAAGTGCACACACATTAGTATGATCCACATGGAAATGGAATGCATCACACACCCAGAAACAAAAGGAAATTGAATACCAAGTTTTAAAACTAGTAAAGAGTTTTACAGGATATCAGACTACACACAATAAAATTATCATATGCAGAGCACTTTTTAGTGCAGCAGAGAAATTAGGAATATATCGGTAATACAGGCTCCAGGATAACACAGGCAGACCTAGTAGAGAAGCAATAGAGGTCCTTGCAAACTACCTTCCCATGCTTCTCAGTACCTACAGTTATCCTGAATTCAGTGCGCTATGCTGATCTACTAGCCTTGGTAGCAAAGCGCTTCACTACTTATATTGCAAACCCTAGTAAAAATATCTTTAAAAGTTACCAATCATTGCCTTTAGAGTAACAGGCTATATTTTCCCCTTATTTTACAAAACAAATGGGACAATAAGATACTGAGAAGGCAACCTCAGTGATAGGAACAGATGTTGTCTGCACCACACTTAAAAAGCAGCATTTCCTTAAGGGTGAGATCCTGAGGTTGTCTCTTGGTAACTATTAGTCCAACACTCAACATTTAGTCCTGGCATTACAATCAGACACATGTAAAAATTAGCCAGCGATTGAATCCTGAAGAATCACATTACCTGTTAGCATTTAATACAGAGTAAAATTGAGCTTTAAACTTCTATGAATAAACTATTGCAGGAATCCCTTGATTTTATTCCAAGGCTCTGCTGTTTCCTTTATGCCACCTTTTCAGAGGAAGGAGATCAGATAGATGACTCTCTCATTAGAAACACCCCTGCTGAGCTCCTGATCTGTAGATGTGGAAAACCATGTGCAACAGTGAGAAGAATATGCTACCTGATAGCACCACCTAGGAAAGATACAGAAGTGACAGTCTAACTAGAAGGTAGTTAAGCACTTGTTAATTTGCTCATCTTTAGTCACCTAAATCCAAACTACATCAATACCACAGACTGCATTTTTTTTCACGAGTCTGTTATTTTAAAGTACACAGCATATTCAATCTCTGCTGCTTTCAAGAGTCAATCCTGCTTTCGCAATGCTCGATTTACTTAAGAGGAAGTAGTCTGCTGACACATCAGTACAATCCATCATTAGGACATGCTTTTCATATCCTGAAACAAAGTCTGGATACAAATGTATCATGCTGATCTCCTCCAAAAGTACTCAGGCAGAAACACTTAAAGGATTTTCTTCTTTTGCAAATAAAGCTTATAAACTGCCAACCTTAACCTTGTACTAAAAAAACTGCAGTCTATCAAGTTCATCTTATCAGGCTTTAATGCCCAAGTATAAGCTTCATATATAAGCTTATAAGCTGAAATATAGGAAATTATATATATAAGTGTATGCATTCATGTGTGCATACACACACTGCTACAGAGCAGCTTTACATAACAAAGAAAAGGACTCTATTTCAAAGGAAGTTCCCAATTTCAACGAAGGTAAGACACAACCTCAAGACAGACACGCTCTACACTTCAGGGCACCTTACCTCTGGGAGACACCTCTTTCCCCACGACCAAGCAAAGCTCACCAGTTAAGAGACCATGCATGGGTTCTGCTCTATCTCTGCACCATCTACTTCATAAACAAGTGATCCCACCGACTAGCCGTCGAGACAGGCCGGTAGAAGGGCACCTTCACACGCATGGCCCAAGTTCGGACAGCCACGGGACACGTGTGAACCTGTCCTCAGCTCCGTGCTCCGCCACCAACAGTGCCTGCACCACAGCACTCCCCGCTCCACACACACACACCAGGAGTGAGTCTCTGCCGCCTCGTCCGCCTCGCACCGGTAGCCAGACAACTCACTCCCCGCCCCCTCAATCCCTCCCCCGAGACCAGAACCGAACTCGGAAACCGCTGAGCCGCACCTCATAAAAGGCCTGCACCATTCCCACCAACACCCACTGCTGCCCCATGCCAACTACCACCATCACATCCGCCCACTTCCGCATCTGCGACACGCCCCAGCATCGCCGTCGTACGTCAAAGTGAGAGGTGGGGACGCGAACCAGACCCAGGGCGAACGCCCTCTCCCATCCGGCAGGCGCCTGATGCCACTTAGGAGGCGCAAGGAAGGGTAGGAGCGAGGGGAAGCAGGAGGGCTGTGTGCTGCCGGTACCACAACCCTGGTGTTGTCCTAAAAGCGGCTTCGCTGCCCAGTGAGTAATGAGCCAACAATCCCACATGCAAGAGAGACATTTACTCCTTTATTTCAGAGTTGCACAAGGCCAGGTGCTCGGTGGTTTCCCACAAACTGAGCACACCCTCCCGAATTTCCAAAGTGTATTTACACACTCAGTCATCATCCCAAGTACATCCCTCTTACACTGATTGCTTAGTAATTTACATGCAATTATAATATTGCTTACTCATCATATCTACTATTACGCATGCTCAGGGGAAGGGTCTTCACCTGGGCAAGGGTCTTTTTGACCTATGAGCATGATTTTGAGTATTATAATGAAGGCAGTTCACTTAAGGATACGTGGACCTTGCGTTTTCCTGCCAAGTCTGGAATGGGTAAAAAACATTCTCATGTTAATGAGTAGCTGGTTGTCTCTGGTTAAAGAATGATAAATGTCTGCTCTACTGCTCATTTTCCTCCTGTCCTACCAAGATACAGGGGACATCTGTTCTACTTAGTTTTAAACAAGATGAATCATCCTAATCCTGCAACACTGGGTGGATAGCTACCTCCCCAGGGTCGGGCGGGTACCTGAGGTGAGCAAGGTGCCAGGTGTGGCTGTCCCTTAAGCCCTGCCCTTGCGGTGAAGCGGTGTGGCATCTGGGTAAGCCGTTAAAAAGCAGGCAAAGTGCCCATGTGGGGAGGAGGGGGGGGG